ATCACCAAGGTAGAGGGCTCGCATGTCGACTGTGCTGGGGGCGGGCGGACGAGCTCTGCAGTGGTACAACCCCTGGTGGACCAGTTGGTTAGGGCCCAAGATCGCCGGTCCCGCGATCAAGAGGACCCTGAAGACCGTGGGGTTTACCGTCTCCGACCGGCAATCACAACGCGCGAAGAAGCGCATCGCGACCGCGTCTAAGGAGGATGAAGCGGGTGCCATTTCGCGTCTTCCATCCCTTTTCGAAGGGATCGAGCGCGATTGTCCGGGTTCGGTCGCCACCGTCGAGGTAAGAGTTTGATCGGGACCCTTTTGTTCAATGTGCACGTGATGCAGCCGTGCAAGGTTGGGCAAGGACTCCAGACAACAGCAATACCACGTGTACCCTAGCATGTTGTAGATGTGCCGTCGTCACGTTCCGTAGGCTCTGGGCACAACTGTAGGCTACGCTCGCTTCTTACTCGTCTCAATCCAAATAAATGAACCATCCCCGCACGCGATGTGTGAGCAACGTGCAGCCCAGTGTGTCGTTCAGGTTCTGACCTTCCTGTGGTTGTTATCCCGGGTGCACGCGTTTTCCCTTTTTAGATGAGTCCCGACAACCGGTTCGTCAGGAGCTGCTTGATGCTGGGTAAGGCCGCCTACGTCGCCGCGCACAGTGTCCCCAAGGCGAGTGCATCTCTTTCGTGATTCTCGTACAGACGTTGCTGGCTTTTTATTTTCGCTGAGATTTACCAAGCTATTAGGTAGACTATGTATTCAAGCCCTGGAGAGCGCCATTGGCCATTGAAAGCCGTGGAGAGCCACTAAAAAAGTCACAAACAATACGTTGGTCACGTCGATGCGCTTTTAGGTTGAACGGTACGACACAGCATCCTTGAACCCTCTACATCATTTGTTGTCGATGAATGAACTCGCGGGGGATAGAAGCATGTTGTTCTCAAACCTGCAGGGAGGTTTGCGCAGGCGCAAGTGATTTCCATATTCAGGCAACAATCGAGTGCGCCCTGGCTTTCCAGCCACACAATATCGAAATTACGACCAGCCATGTCTCGAGCTCAACAGCAAAGTGGGTTACAATGAATATGTATTGTAGCGCACCTCTGAGGACATTTGAGGCTTACACCAAGTGGTCCGAGGAAGGC